GAACCAACATTGTGGTATCAGAGCTTAGGTTGCATTCCTAAGTCTCTCTGGTTTGTTTTGATGGCACAGAACCTCAACACTATTAGCATGTCTCACCCTCAAATTCCAATCTTTAAGGGAGACTCCTACGAGTTCTGGAGTACCAAAATGAAGACTTTGTTCAAGTCACAAGATTTGTGGGATCTTGTTGAAAATGGGTATGCAGAAGCAAGCACAGATGAGACACGTCAGAAAGAAAATCAAAAGAAAGATGCAAAAGCCTTGTTTTTCATCCAACAAGCTGTTGATGAAACAATCTTTCCCAGAATTGCTGCAGCAGACACATCACGGGATGCCTGGAATATTCTCAAAACTGAATATCAAGGATCAGCAAAGGTGATCACAGTTAAACTCCAGTCCCTAAGAAGGCAGTTCGAGACCTTAAACATGAAACCAAGTGAAACCGTTCAAGAGTATCTTGCAAAAGCATCTTCGATTATGATTCAGGTGCGTGCTTATGGAGATAAAATCTCTGATGAAGTTGTTGTTGCAAAAGTACTGAGGAGTCTACCTTCTAAATTCGACCATGTTGTGGCGGCTATTGAAGAGTCAAAGGATCTTACAACATTTTCCTTTGATGAACTGATGGGCTCACTACAAGCACATGAAGCAAGAATCAACAGATCTCAGACTCAAGATGAAGAACGTGCATTTCAGATCCAAGGAGAACAAGGTAGATATTCCTTTGGTCGAGGAAGAGGCAGAGCATCATCTCGTGGTCGTGGTCGAGGGAGATCACAAGGGTCACTAGTTCAATGTGATCATTGTAAGAAGTTTGGTCATAAAGAAGAAGATTGTTGGACAAAGCAAAACCAAGCAAAGTACACTGAAGAGGAATTTGAAGAGAAGGAAGATTACTTGTTCATGACCCACATTCATCCAGTTGATGTTACAAAGGAGATATGGTATATAGACAGTGCATGTTCTAATCATATAACCGGTGTACGTGACAAGTTCAAAAGCCTGAACACGACAGGAAAATCACGTGTTCGTCTCGGCAATGGCCAACCAGTTGCGATAGAAGGAATAGGAGCTGTGACGGTTTGCATCGACGGAAAGGATAAACTCATCAATGATGTTCATTTTGCACTAGGTCTGGCCTACAATCTGATAAGTGTAGGCCAGTTAATTGAAAATGGATTGAAGGTAGAATTTGAAAATGATGCTTGTGTGGTAAAGAAACAAAATGGTGAAGTTCTATTATACTAAAAAATGACTGGAAATAGGATGTTTCCAGTAGATTTTTCACGAAAAGAAGGATATATGATGATGAGTAGCAAGGATGATGAGTCAAGATTATGGCACTATCGATATGGTCATTTGTATGTAAAAGGTCTACAACTATTAACAAGCAAACAAATGGTGAACGGGCTACCAACCATAAAAGATTCTACCCATGTGTGTGAAGGGTGTGTCTTGGGTAAGCAAACACGAAGATCCTTTCCGAAGGGGCAAGCAAGACGAGCAACAGAAAAACTGGAGATAGTATGTGCAGATATATGTGGTCCAATGAGGACAAAATCACACTCGGGGAGTAAGTACTTCTTGCTTTTTATTGATGATTTCACTCGTATGTGTTGGGTCTACTTCATCAAAGCGAAATCTGAAGCTTTTGAGCACTTCAAAAAATTCAAAGCCCTTGTCGAAAAACAAGGAAGCAATGTAATCAAGATTCTAAGAACGGATAGAGGCGGTGAATTCATGTCAAAGGAATTCACTACATTATGTGAAGAAGAAGGAATAAGAAGAGAATTGACAGCTCCTTATACACCTGAGCAAAACGGGATCACAGAGAGGAAGAACAGGACTATTGTGGAGATGGCTCGATCAATGCTAAAAACAAGTAAGTTGTCTGACTCATTTTGGGCAGAAGCGGTAGCCACAGCTGTGTATCTCCTTAATCTATCACGCACCAAAGCAGTATAGAATAAAACACCTTTCGAAGCTTGGTATGAGTTCAAGCACACTGTTGATCATTTGCGTGTTTTTGGTTGTTTATGCTATGCATTGGTCACCACAAATAGGCACAAGCTAGAAGAGAAGTCCAAGAAATACATCTTTGTGGGCTATTGTACAATGTCAAAGGCCTACAGGTTATTCGATCCTATAAATAAGAATATTGTTATCAGCCGTGATGTGATTTTTGAAGAGTATTCAAGTTATGTGGATACATCGGTTCACACAAACTTAATGCCACAGCCAAATTCATTTGAAAATGTAGAAGATGAAGTGCATGATCATCTGATCAATACACCCATGTCTCCTCCATCAAGTCCGACACCGAGCTCTACTCACTTTGAATCATCTTCTGCTACGCCCTCGAGGACCACACCTGGCTCTTCTGATGTGTCGTCTCCAGATACTCCACCACTCAGATATAGGAACTTAAATGACATTTATGATAGCACTCTAGCCTTGTTCGCTGGTGATCCAGTCTCAACAGATGTGGCACTTCAAGATGTTAACTGGAAGAAAGCAATGGAGGAAGAAATTATGGCGATCGAAAAGAACAAGACATGGGATCTGGTGGAACCTCAAGCTGGTAAGCATCCAATTCCTTTGAAATGGGTGTTTAAAAAAAAGTTCAATGCGGATGGTAGTCTCCAAAAACATAAAGCAAGATTAGTTGCTCGTGGTTTTCGACAAGAACAGGGTGTAGATTTCAATGAAACATTCTCACCGGTGGCAAGAATTGAGACAATAAGGTTAATTCTTGCATTAGCTGCACAACAACAATGGGAAGTTTACCAGTTCGATGTTAAGTCGGCATTCTTAAACGGGGACCTAAAAGAAGAGGTTTTTGTTCAACAACCCGAAGGATTTATTGTTCCTGGGCAAGAAGGGAAGATATATAGGTTGAAGAAGGCATTATATGGGCTTAAACAAGCTCCGCGTGCATGGTATAGCAAGATTGACAACTTCTTTCACTTCAACGGTTTTCAGAAAAGCCCTAGTGAGCCCACCATGTATTTCAGGAAGCAAGGTGATGCAGGGATCATGTTAGTCAGTCTCTATGTTGATGACATGATCTACACAGGGTCGTCTAAAGAGCTCATTTATCAATTTAAAATGGAGATGATGAAGACGTTTGAAATGACAGACCTTGGAAAGCTACATTATTTTCTTGGGATCGAAATAAAGCAAACAAACACCGGTATTTTTATTGCTCAAGAAAAATATGTATCAGACATGCTAAAGGGTCTCGACATGGAGAATATTGAACCAGTCATAACTCCTATGAACACCAATGAAAAGCTAACATGTGAAGATGGCACAGGAATGACAGATCCTCAAAATTACAGGAGCATAGTTAGGAGGTTAATCTACCTCACTCACACAAGACCAGACATAAGTTTTGCAGTGGGAGTAGTCTCAAGATTCATGCACAAACCCACAAAACAACACTATGGAGCTGTCAAAAGAATCGAAAAGGTTTGTGCTAAAAGGATACAGTGACAGTGATTGGGCAGGATCACAAGAAGACAGGAAGAGTACAACAGGGAATTGTTTCAGTACTGGGTCTGGAATAATTTCATGGCAGTCAAAGAAGCAAGCAACAGTAGCTTTATCATCAACTGAGGCGGAATATGTGGCGGTCACAATTACCGCGTGTCAAGCTGTGTGGTTACGAAAACTTATGGGTGATCTTATGCAGGAACAAAGGGAACCAACTGTGATTTACTGCGACAATCAATCAACAGTTGCCATGACAAGAAACCCAGTTATGCATGGGCGTACCAAGCATATTGAAATTAGGCACCACTACATTCGAGACTTAGTGGCAGCAGGTGTAATATGGGTGGAGTTTTGTCCTACTGAAGAACAATTGGCCGACATGTTCACTAAGGCTCTTCCGCCTGCACGTTTTCAGCGTCTCCGAGCTTGTATTGGCATTGGAAGCTTTGAATCAAAGGGGGGTGTTAAAGACTGATTCAAAGTCAGTGAAATAAAGTGAAATAAGTGCTCTCGTGTGTGTCTTCATAACTGTTGAAGTCTTTCATATTTCCTGCTTTTACTTTTAGTCTTTTCGTGTTCCAGCATTTACTTTTTCAGTTGTAAGTGCTGCTATATATTGCAGCCTTCTGTTCCTTGTTTTTCACTGAATAATACACGAGAGCTTTTTAGCATTTTGCATTGTTCATTTGTTTTGAACCAACAAGCTATACCACCCTCCGATTCACAAAACCAAACTACTACTCTTAACCACCGGAAAATCCCATTTATCCCACCTTAAATTGTGTGTGAAATCTTCCCCTCATCCCTTTTTCGCCGGAGACCAGCAGCTGCTTTCCTCACTTGCCCCCCCCCCCCCCCCCCCCGCTCTCTAAGTGTTAAGAAGTCCCGAAAAACAAGTACCTAATTTATATTTCGGCTCATGTTCTTCCAAATCCATTAGTAGATTAATGTTTCCTACATATATTTTTTTTTTCAATTCATGCAGGTCTGAGTCTCACCGGAGCATCACATTGAGTTACAACAAGGCTTTTTCGGGTCAGGTACAATCGCATCCTTCCGATGCCATACTCGATCTTAGATTAACTTTGATCGTGAGTTTTTGTATCCAATTTATTGTTGTCGATCGGACTTTTGGAGGTAAAATTATATATGAATCTCCACAGAAATTTTGATTCATGTCATTACCCACAAATAACAGTTAAGATCAACAAATAGCTATGGAAATTAAAACTGCAACAACGATTTTCCAGAATAACTCTGTAAAATGCTCATCCATTTTCTCTTGTTTACTTGAAAATAATACAATTACTTCATTTCTTATTTTCCACAAGTTACAACTAGCCCCTTCCAATTTAGAAAACGACTACTGTAACTTTTTCTTCATCTTTTCCTTGTTTCACTTAAACCACAAACAAACGTCATCAATAATTTTCACCTTACATATTTAAAGCTGTTATGAATCTTTTCTTTTCTTGGTTTGACTTTGGTTTACTTTTCATAGCAGGATGGATTTTCGGAATAATTTGGTGATGTTAGCTGGAAGCGTAGTGTTCAACATGGTGATGTGTCTGGTACGATTTCCAGGAGGACTTGCAACCCTTGGGAACAGAGATGGCGATTGGGTGTTCTTCTATGCGGACTTGATAGCTCTTTGTATCTCCATGAATGTGCTTGTTGTTGGAATGAGTGTGGGACCCACACTCTGGAAAAAGATCGAGGAGCTAGCAAGGAATGCCATGCTTATTGCACTGTCTGCTATGGCAATAGCTGTTCATCAGATTATTCTTAGGGTTTTAGGGGGCGACTACTGGTCGAGGCTTTTTGTTAATGGGTCCTTCATTGCGTTCACAGTTCTCACTTGTGGTTTCAACATCTTTGTGAGGTGTGGCTATTGGACTAAGTAGAGGCTCTGTTGATGCTTTTGATGTCGTCTCTTCTATTAACACTATTGAATATTATTAGTTTGGATATGTATTAGTCTTTTCTTCTGGTTTTCGTTTTCTTCCATTTTAGTCTACGGATTACCAAGAAGACCTAGTTTACTAAAATTATGTATAGCTATTCTTGTGTTCTATACAAGTTACCAACAGGAATGGAATATGATATATATTATTAGTTGTTGAATTAGACGTATTTGGATTAAAAAGTGGTTTTAATTTTGTTACTTTGTGGACACTATGATTATTTTTCTATTCTTGGTTATGAGACTACTGGCTATAAGAATATGGATGAATGTCATTAAGGGTAAGGGTATCCAATTTCTTTTTTTTTTTTAACCGATGGACACATAAGTTGAAAGGGACATTTTTGTAATTTTTGCTATTTCTAAAAAATGTAGGGTGTGGTGGTTTAAAGTGCAACCGATAAAACCCACAAAAACCGAGGACAATTGATTTTTGCCATCGGTGAACAGGGGCTGAACACAAGTAGTAAAACTATGGGGGCTGAAATCAAAACATTAAAAAAATTATATACAGAACTTTTATTTGGTTTAGCGTTATGATATTGAAAAAAATGGATTAATATTAAATACTTTTACAAAGTTTCTCAAATGGCAAGTCTCCGATCTTTTACATCTTTATAGTCTTGCACAATTGTTTCTAAACTAATTTTTTCAGAAAATTCCTTTTTGAAGTACAAAACCAATGAGTCGTTCAAAAACTCGTCTTCCATTTTATTCTGTAATCTTGTTGTAATAAGACTCGTTGTTGAAAATTACCTCTCTGTTGTAGCAGTTGAAACCGGAAGAGTAACTATGAGACTAGTTACTTGATAAATAAGACTCAAATTCGTTACTCTTCTAGTCTTTAACAATCATTGGCACAATTCTGAAATAAATGTAAATTGTTTATAATTTGCATGTTGAACGACATCAACTTTGTAATTTTGAAGTTGCAACTTTAAAAGTACTTTTTCATGGACATTGAAATCTTCAGGATAAAACTTCTCTGCTAATTGAAGCAACTACATTGAACTATCATTGAATCGATTATCTAAATCCATTAGTTGACAATTAATTTTTTCACAAAATATATCAACACGATAATGATGTTCAAGTGTATGATCTCTATGCTCATTACGAGCTCGATCCCTTCTACTAAAATAAGGGGAAGATAAATCAGGGATGTCAATGTTGCGTAGCTCACAAAATGACTTAACAAAAGAGAGAAAATCACTCCATCTTTCATCTTTCATTTTATGCAATAATATTTTAGTGGATGTTGTTGAATCTATATGCTTAAGAATCATTATTGAGTTTACTAATAATATATGATCTTATAGGATCACATGTCACACCTTTATCAAGTTGGCATATTTTGTATATTTATTATTAATGTGATTATTAATAAATAATTTTGATTCTTCTATTTTAATTAAGGAATAATTATTGTTTTATGAAAATAATAATTATAAAGGAGTATAACTAGTTATTATATCATATAGTATGAATTAATAAGTCATGTACAATATTTTGAACTAGATGGATTCTTTTGTCTTTTAGCTAAAGACAAAGTTTATATTTTATAAACTTGAAGTTTATAAAAAAAAAAAAAATCCATCCTCTTGTGAGAGGTATGGCCTAAATATATAATATTATGGAGGTTGTTTATCAACCTCCATGCCTTGTACATGCTTCTTGAAAATAAGAGAGTTACTTTATATTATTTTAATGTAAAACTCTTACCTTCCATGGTCTATATAAGAGATGCACAAGCCTTGCATTTTGAACAAGTGAAACACTCTCTTCTTCTTCCTTTCTTCTCACCAAAACCTTAAGTAGCATGGAGATATTTCTCTTGATTTCTTTTGAAGATCATTCAAGTCTTTGGTGGCTAAAAGTGCTTCTCCTTTAGTACTTATTTGTATTAAGTACTTAAAGGCTTAAGAAATACTTTACACAAAAAGGAACTAGCATTCCAAGTGTCTTAATCTTGATGGTGGATACTTGTAGAGAAGATCATGTTCTTTGATCTTTACATCTCCATCAACACCCCAAAACCAAGTGAGTTCAAAGGCTTCAAAGGGTATCTCTAAACCATCATATGATTGTTTTTATTTCATTCTATCATCTATAAATGGATCCATGATGGTTTGGCTTCGTTAAGAAATAAAAATAAACTTGTTATTTTTAAGGTCTTTCGTTGCCGATTTTTGTGAAAAACGATCTTATATTTCATATCAAAAGCCAACAGTGGTATCAGAGCCATCTTTTATATGTTAGAATAATTTTTTTTTATGTTTGATAATCTTTGGTTTTTGGAAAACAAGTATGGATTTCTTTTGGTTAAAAAAAATCCATATTTGTCTTCTTTGGCAACTTCTTGGTTGAAATTGTTTATTTTATATATAACAATTTTTCATGCATTTTAGTTATATAAAAGTTACCTTAAAAACAACAAAGGATTGTTTGTTATAATATTTGATATATTGTTGTGTATAAACAAGCCATTTGGACTTGTGTGTTGTGTTTGGTTGATATTTATTTATTCATAAGATGTAATAGATAAATAGGTAAAAAAAATTTTCATTTGTTGATTTGTTGTAATAAATTAGTTAGACTAGTTGTATTCCTTTTAAATGTAACAAGATGAAGAAATGACCTCCTTGAAGATGACTTAACCATTTAAGAGCATAATACCAACCACAAGCTTCTACTTTTGGTTTTGGGCTTAATTATAGTCTTAATGCTTTAAGTGTTGCAACTTTCATAACATGAAGATTTGAAGTCCTTTTGCAAGCAAGAGTTAACTTGGCAAGTGGGAGCTTGAAAACCTTTTTTAAGTGTCCCTTAAGTCCTTTAGGAAAGACTTAATAATTTTTGTGATGGCTCACAAAAATTATTACTGGTTTTATTTATACACATTATAATGTATGTTAGTAATGTTTATTTTATGTTAAATGTATGTTATGTTTTATGTATAAAATGGTTTTTACATATCAAATAACATTTTTTTCATAAGATAATACCACTTGGAGTTTGAGTAAAAAATATTTAAAAGATAACATAAGATATTTATAAATGGATATTTATAAAAATGTTTTTCTGGTTACCGGTTTGGGTTGAAAATTTCGGTGTTACAACTACCCCCAACACCAAGATGGTTCTCACCAACTAAGGAGAATCATCTCCTTTCTACCAACCGATCTACCTTGATCATCAGAGCCTGCTCCTGGGGCACAATCCCTGGGGTGGTTCTAACGACCTTATCTGTTGTGTTCTCGCAGATTCCCTCCGGCGTAGGAGCACACCATCAGAGCAGGTGGTCGGAGCCGATGTCGCATCAATCACAGTAAGCATGAAGCGAGAGGTCCCCTATGGAGATGTTTCGGAGTTCAACCTCTAGTTGCATTATAGTAGCCTCTTTATTGTCATAGAAAATAGAGTGAATATTAAGCCAAACCTTGCGGGCTGTTGGAGGATTGGAGTAAGCGGAGGTGATAAGATTTTGAGATATCAATCTAAATAGCCATAAAAGAAACATTGAGTCAAGTCTCTATCATTCTGGATAAGTAGATGACGATTTGGTGCATCATATGTGCCATCTACGTGATAGAGAATATCATAGGCGGTACAATAAACCTTGAAGAGAACACTCCAAGGTTCATAGTTCTGAGTGGTGAAATCTAGAATAAGAGGAACATACGTTTTGATGTTGGTTATTCCATAGGCTTTGTGAGGAGGTTTGGAATTGTTGCTAGATTCACCACCAGTCATGTTGGTTGAAGAAAGAAGAAAGAAACGTAAGAGAAGAAGAGTAGAGGGTGTGACGATAGGAAGAAGAAAAGAGGATCAGTTGATTTTAGGGATGAAAAAATAGGCTGATACCATGATAGAAACAATTTTCCTACACTTAGAAAGGCATTACAAACTAAATACACAATGGCCTTCTTGAGCTTATACACCATAATGGACTAACAGAAGGAGTGGGCTAATAATACAAATATACAAATATATAAATCATGATTGATAACATATAATACACGATCTCACATCTAATAAATTAACACACCACACAAATAACTCGAGTGTGATGGCCAATGGCGTTACCTTGTGATATGTTTCGCTATGGAGCACTTCTTTGTTGGTAACTTGCCTAGCCACTAGTGGCCAAATTGGAAGGTTCTTCGTCTTTGTAACCATAAGGACCAGGGTTTTTCCTTGTCATGGTTTGCCATGGTCACCATATGGACTAGGGTTTTTCACTATTATGGTTTGCCAAAATCGGATAAGAGGATAATTTTCTTTCTATCCATACGCTCATTTCAAAACAATACAAAAAAGATTTTTTTGTTCCTTTTTGTTAAAAAAAAAGTAAAAAAGATATCTTATATTCGTTTTCTCATTTTATTTATTTATTTATTTATTTATTTATTTATTTTTAACTTCCGTACACTGTTTTCCTAATACATAAGAAAATTCAGATTCTTCAGTCATTCGCTGCAAATCTTCCTTTCATTCCACGGTATTGGCAAGAAGGTGTTTAAGGTATGTCTTCTTCATCTCTCCGGCCCTCTCCTTCTCCAACCATCCTCCCTCCCCTTCTCTCATTTTCTGTTACTGTTCACCGCCGTCCGCCGTGACACACTCTTCCCTTCGCTGGTAGCCATTAACCCTCACAGCCTCACCTCGCTGCTGATAACCCACCAACCACCACCACCATAGAAACCCTAAAAACAAGCACTCAGCTTCATACCACCACTCTCTCCGGCTCCCCTCATTTCCTCCCTTTCTCCCATGCACGACAATCCCAAACGACATCCCGACCCCGCTACCCTCCGATTATAAAAACCATATTCCAGCTCCTAAATTTTGCATTTATCGACCCATCACAACCCAATCTGCCGGAAAATCCCATTTATCTCACCTTAATTTCTCTGCGATCCCTCCCCTCATCCCGCCGGA